TGACGACAAATATAACAATTTATAACTTCAAGGATCTACAATAGACCCTCCAAAGCTGCTTCCTTAAAATTATTTTTTTATTGCTAATATTAAATTTCTACGCTATGCCTGCATTTTCACTTAAATTGAAATATCTCACAAACTGTAAGTCCTAGGTATGCAGAACCTTTAATAAAGTTCACCTATTTTTTTACGGTGCTTTCAAAAATGCAGTAAAATACAGGGTGTTCCATTTAAAAAAACATAACTTTGATATGGTACGCTTTTCCTGGACACCCTGTATATTTCAAAATATTTTTAAAATGTAGCCGTAATCAACCTACACATACCCACCTAAACAGGTTTCTGTAACATTTGCCGTTTGGTCACTAGCGACCGAGGCGTTACTGGTGGCCCACCCTGTATACACAGTTTTAACATCTCGAATGAAGATAAGTACCTCGCCTCTATATCCTTCACTGTTTATTTAATATCTGTATTGTAGTATTATAGTTTAATTTGATGATATTAGTTTTAAGGATTTTTGGATTTATAAATTACCGAACTGTACACAATTTGCAATTTCACTTTGGGGGATATAACTAACGACATTTGTGACAAATTTGACGTTTAACCTTATATATATCTCATTGATACATGATTAGTAAATTATATACAGAGTTAACCAGTAATTTTCTTTTATCATCAGACTCATCAGTGAACGATAGGTAAACACAGTTTATTAATAAATAACTTCCTTTTCACAGGTAACCTTGTGTGCTCTAACTTAAGACAAATTGAACCCTGAGATTAAGAGTGCTGCCTTTCCAGCTATGACATTTATTGAGTTCTGATTGGTAGAGTTATAGAGGCTGGAATAGCGTAGCAGCCTATTGATTCGACTGCCAAACTTTGTGTTACATACATTACAAATATTAAAAACTATAGTGGTCCCAGGTGGTATCCCAGAAGTAACTCATTCTTAAGATTTAAAGTTGTGGAAAATTTGATCTTATTTTGCTAAGTATCCTGATGTTTGGAAAACTAGTAAAATTTGTCCAACTTTTCACAGTGGCGATTCTTCTAGTATGCATAATTATAGATTCATATTCAATATGGATTCTATATAAATTTGATAAGCTGTTTCAGATCAGTCAAATTATTTACTTCAATTAATCAACATGAATTTATGGGGAAACTATCACTAGTTTGGTTAGTTTCCCTCAACTTTTATCAGAAGCTTTAGGGATAAATAGAACTGATTTTTCTGTTCCTAAAGGTTCAAATTTTAACACATTTATATTCTCAATTTTTCTTACTGGTCATAAAGCTGTTTAAAAAATATGTTGTTGTTTGCGAATGATTTAAAATTTTTTTCAAGCAATAAATTATGTCGGCATAATACTGAATATCCTTTATAATTTTGTGTTATTTTTAATCTGCAGGTAGATATTATTTTACATTATTTTAAAAGATTCTAACAAGAACTTATTTTCTGTTAGTATAATGGATGAATCTGGCAACACTAGGAATTGCTCATAAAAACGAGAAAGAAGTGATGTTGCCATTGCAACTAGGGTTATACTCTTTCCGAAGTTAGTTGATCATGTATAAAAACGCCTAGCAATAAAATTTAATGAGTTTCATAGGCATCCGTCCCTAAAAAAGTTTTCTGTTAAAGGTGAAAAATAATTTGTATATAATGTGTAGAAAATTTCTATTATATGTTCATTTGGACAACAACATATTTTAATTATTTATGTCCTCAAACAATTTTATTGTATTGATGGTAAATTCAATTGAAATCGGAGAGACTATATCAACTGTCCTGAATTTTGGTGAATGTCCACCATTTGAGCTATTTTTTTATCAATTGTCCTGTGTTCTGTCATGTCTCTCTGCAAGACGCCAAACGTTCTTAATTTTACACTTTTGTAAATTTTCCCAAAATAAACAATATATTTGCACAATCCGGCAATTGCGTTTTGAGGGAAAAAAAAACTGCTAGATAGTCGACCTGGCGTAGATGACGTTTGTATGCCTGTTTCTCGTAAAAAAATAAACATCTTTTTGTATTAATGTTTAGTTTGTTATGTAATTTTAATATTTACATTTTTACATTTTTAGTTGATCTCGAACTAAGCGTATTTTTATTTTATATTGTTTTAATTGTATTTTTTATAGCTGGGAAATAAGTTACGAATAATGAAAAAATAGCTTTTCTATGCATTCAAGTTCTTTTTCCACAAAAAAGTCCATAGTTTTGGTTGTTTCATAAGACAAATAAAAATATCCTTAGTTTTTTACCTTTGTTCTGAATTTTTAGATGTTTTGTCCTGAAAATAATAAGTTAAAAGTTGTTAACCTTTTACTAAAATAGACATAACATTTTATAAAATTACCATGTATAGTATTTCCGAAGTTAGTTGGACATGTAAAAAAACGCCTAACAATAAAATTTAATGACTTTCATAGGCGTCCCTAAAAAAGTTTTCTGCTAAAGGTAAAAAATTATAATAATTTGTATATAATGTGCACAAAATGTCTATTATATGTTCATTTGGCCAGCAACATATTTTAATTATTTATGTCCTCAAACAATTTTATTATATTGATGGTAAATTTCGTTTTGTTCCGTTTCAAAAGGCCTCCAAAATGCCATGTTGTAATAATATTTTCTCCCTTTCGCAATTGTAATATCAGTGATTAATAGAAGTTGTCTAGAATAAATTAAAATTACCTGAATCACACCAAATTCTGCATTGCCGCACTGCACTGCTGGGCAATTTGTCAACCACTTGTCAACAGCTGAGATTTATTGCCCAGTGGCCCAATGCTGCTATATTTGTATTACGTTTGCGTAATGGGTATGTCTAAATAAATATGGGAACAAATTTTTCAAATATTTGAATGCCGAGTTGCTGCCTCAGCGACCGATCCTGGTACATAGTGTCAATCTCTTAGTTCTTCAATTGATATCGGAAAGACTATACCAACGAGTTCATTTGACGCTGTATTTTTTTAACCTACAAAAATTTTGTGATGTGCGGAATTTAGAAAATATATAAAAACTCGATGAGGGAAGTGGAGTGAAATTATTATTAAACCAAATATTTTAAACTTTTTCGATGAATTTCTTGTGTCCGTTCCACGTTTACCAAATTTATTTGTGCGAGACAAGAAAATCCTGACGCAGATATACGAGAAGCAAATATAAGCTGCATAGTCGATCGCAGAAGTCCGCATACGGTGTTTAGCCCGTACCTCAGTCAGAATTGTGGGGAGGGGGGCACCGATGGGGTAGTCTAGACTTCGGGTGCGGTGCACTCCTAAGGGTGGCCGACAGCACCAGGACAAGGACGAAGGTCGTGGAACTGGGAAAGTGAAATCCGCGACGCATAAAAACTATACCGCCGCTCTCCCCCGCAGTCGCGGGCGGCCCGGCCGGATGCAACGCGCTCCTGGTCCGTCGGGGGGAAGGAGGCGGCGGGGGGAGGATTTTCGGCGGCGGTGGCGCGATCGATAGTGCCAGACACAACACACGCACCCTCTCCCTCCGCTCTGTTGGATGTCTCTTTCAGAATCGG